CTGCTCAATGATATAAGAAATATTACATTATGTTATCTATATAATATGTTGTATAATGCAATGCTTACAACACATTATACTATTTGTTATTTGTGTGATAATATTTTTTAGATATTTGAAATAATTTTCTATAATAATATCATTATTTAAAGCCAATTATATGTAACCAATATTATGTAACCACGATATTCATAGCACGATAGCAAATATTATTTCTTTCAGAGCTTAATAAACTTAACAGCGTAGCCGCGTAAAAAAATTTTCTATTAAAATGACATTTTTTGTCAGAATTAACAATCGTAAAATTATCGTTAAACAATCTTTTTACCAGCGTAAATATTCTTTCCTCCTAATTTACTCTATTAATCTTCTAGATTCTGAAATATGTCATATATTTTGTTAACTTTACTAGATTATTATGCTGGGACCCCGCACTTGTTTGCTATGCCTATGAATATATAATACAACGTAATATTCGCGCAAAAATCTTGCGAACAAGAAGGAAAAAAAAAAGAAAGAGCAGAAGCGCTGAATTACACGACCTTAGATGTAATTTTAAAATATGAAATGTAAATCTGCGTGTAATTCACGTATAATTATGTTATTAAGAGAATCATCCAATTTTACTGTCACATTATGCTTTTGGCATAATGGAGATTCGGTTATATCACCGGTGTAACTATTGTATGTTAAAACGTTCTACTTGCTTAAAATAATTGTCTGCATATTTCGAAATGAAATGTCTGTTTCTCAAATATTATTTTAAATAAAATCAAATGTGTTTTATTGTAAATAATATCTTAGAGAAAGAGAGAGTTATAGTTAAATGTTTCATAAATCTTGAATATATCCTTAATTTCGTTAAATTATTTGAACAAAGTTACAAATTTTTAACCAGATTTGAAGTATATGTATATCTAATTAAAAATTTTATTACTACTCATATTTTTTCTTCTAAATCCTTATCTTTTTCTCACTTGTTTTTTTTTTTTTGCACTACTTTTCCACTTTTACATTTGCTCAACTACATAACAATGTTGGAATGAAAAAATGAGTGAAAATAAAAGATATCACTCCATAAATTTCAATAGATAAATTTAAGTATGTATATATTTAGATAACAATATCAGAAAGAAGCTTGATCTCTATAATAATAGATCCACAGTATTGATTTAGTACACACAGTCTTTTGGTTTTTATTTGATTTTGTTTTAGTAACTACATGGTCAAACAAATGTAAAGTCGGAAGATAGTGTAAAAAGAAAAATGGAAAAAAAGAGAAAATGAGAAAAAAAACTTAAATTTGACTGCACTTGTAATTATATGTATGTACGTTTGCCACAAGTATATATATACTTAGATAATGAACAGATAATTGCACTCTCACTAGCTAGGATATTACAGTTTACTCCATCCACTACAGATTTTACTTTATAATTAGACTGCTCCGCCTTAGCTTCATCGAAGAATCGATAAAGCTCGTACTTCGTTACGCGCCCTATCGACGAAAGTCAACCGGCACACTTTACTTTCGAAAATTATAAATTCTCATCGTAAATTTGTCATGCCACGATAGATGAAGCGCAAACGTCAAGTAAAACGCACATTATGTTTCAATTATGAATTATAAATTTGGCAATAGCTAAAGACTTAAATTTTTATAAAAACTATAATGAAGTTGCAATGAGAAAAGGGGTAATATATAGCGATATCCTTTCAATTACAGCGTAAAAGTATTTACGAAATAATATTCGAACGAAGAAAGAGAACTATTCAGTGAAACATGCGTAACAAGCAAGTTGAATATATCAATTGTTACAGAACATTTATTATGTTATCTTTATATGAATAACCATAGCTTTTTCGGTATTGAAAAAACAATAAATTATGTATACAAAATTGTACTTTAACAATTCGTTTTCTTCTCTAATTGTCGTTAATAAGATCAAAATCAAATTTGTTAATAAGATTAAGCAAAGAATATATTTATACATATTAAAATTATAATATATTATATCTTTAAACTTTATATCTTCAGGATTTTATTTTCTAAATTTATAATTATGTCTTTATAAAAATTTTTTTTCTACATATATGTTTATATAATTTAGATTTCAAAACTTTATTATTTTATTGTTTAAAAATAATAAATTGTGCACATGATTTGTTTATTTATTGTGCACAAAGTTTGTAATTTTTTACTGTTCAGCTAAATGCAAGCAATCAATTTTATTTTATTACTTATTTGTAAAAGTGCAAATTGTACACGAGAGTATGAATATAAGAATTGCACGTGATTGTCACAGCAGTTTTTAGCAATTATACAATAAATATTGACAAATGACAGCTTATAATATCAATGTTTTGCATAATTATGCATAATGAATGAATTTACTCACCGGTCGTTGTAGTTAGCTAAATATGCTCTCCACTGTACCTGAAGAAATTAATATATTTCAGTTATTATAAATTATTATAATTTTATATGTATATTCGCACTCTGAACATGGAATACTGAGCGAGAAATAACAGAGATACAGAGAAAAAGATAATTGTAGCTCTCTCGCTTTTACAACGCTCAGCGCGAACAACCAAGTAATGTGCTGCATTAGTTTCATCTGAGCTCTAATTACAATTATGTACATATTTAAATAATGGACAAATAATAATTCGTACTCACCAGCTAGAATATTGCAATTTGCTGCATTCACAGATTTCGCCTCAGATTGCTCCGCGTCAGCTCCATTGAAGAATTGATGAATATCAAAAACTCGCACTATTGCACTTTACGCGCATTACTGAACAAAAACCGACTCACACATTTCACCTTCAAAAATCACGGATCTACATTGTGAATTTTCCACATTATGACGCAAGGCAAACGCGGGAAAAAATGTATTACTACGTCTACGCACATAATATATTCCGATTATTATCATCTTCGACGAAACTGATACATATTTAGAACGAGACGAACGACGATTATTTTAATTACACTTCTGACGTGCTACACCAAACACACGGCGTCATGTATTTCAGATTTTTATTTTAGATTTAGCTTTAAATTTTATGATCAATTTCCTAACCAAACAACAAGCTGCTAAGATAGCTCTCGTGTTTTTAATTAATTAGCCGTGGTACGCGAATATTATCATATAGATATTATGCTTTCGATAGGAAAATACTTAACTGGAACTGAAAGATATTTCGGACGCCATAAAAATTGCACTGTGTGCATCGAAATCTGTACTCATTAGAGCCCATTCACATCTGGTTGTCAAGCGGTCGACAAAATGCTGTTAATCGCGAACACTCGTGGTAATAGCGAACACTCATAATAGTCGCGATAAATAATACGTACTAGCAATCGCCCGCCGATTTAATTGACACTCCCGACATAATCGCACTCGTTATACACATGCTAGTAAAATGCGCGGTAATGGAGTGTTTACACTCTCTGTATGACGCGTTAGTAGTAAGTTAAGTTAATCGCCGGCAGATGGCGGTCGATATCGACGGTCGACATGTTTATCGACTGATCTATGATCAATATCAGCGCCACTCTTAGGCAGGGAACAAGTTCTTGCTGTATAATATGGAGGCTCGGAATGCAAGGCGCAAACGCTCCGCGATTAATCTGTGAAGAACTGCTGGGTTTTTTCTAGAATCACGAAAAAAATGCTCTAGTAACAATGTACATATTTAAGGTATACTTAATGTATCATATGCTGCATAATTGAACACTGATTTCGTACAATTATAACAGCTCGCGGTCTCTATTAATTGTACATTTTACTCGTAAAAGTGCGGAATGAGTAAATTTTTATTGGGAGTCGGTTAAAGTAGCAAGCGATTACCGGAATGTATTATTAATTGCGAACGTTTGCGATTAACTATCGATCGTAAATTGAAATTAGTACGTTCGAGTAAGTATAAATTTCGGTTACGATGTTATGAACACGCGAACTACACTTTTCATCAAGTGTAATTGATAATTCAGCTCGTCGGAATTAAATCAGATAAAATGTAATTGTTGTTATATGTATATCCGTACCTTTATGTATGTACTACCAAGCAATCGTCAGTCTCATTCACTCCAAATGCATGAAGTATATCAATTTGGGATAACTCGGAGTACGATATCTAGATATTCGTGTACTCTAAATTTCAAAATTGATGCAGCTTCATGTAACTTGAAGCATTTCTGGTCACCGGTATAGTGTTGTAAACTACATGTAAGATAATAATACAGTACCAATTATAAACGCGTCGTACAGAATACATTTGATGTCGCGTTTGTATATATCATAGAAGTTCCCGATGTGAATTTGTGAAAGTGTGATGTGCATAATTAAGTGCTTGTGTCCAAATATTCATCAATTCTTCAACGCTGCTGCCGGGCAGCAATCTAACCTGAAATCTACATTGGGCGGAGCAGACTACAATACCCTAGCTGGTAAACAATAATTTGTTATTTATCTTTGCTACAATTATTTACTTATTATTTAAATATGTACATATATGTATTTGTAATAATACATACACGCACATACGCATGCACGCATGCGCTGGCACACACACGCACATACACAATGATAATTTGTATTTATTAAATATTTATTACGTGTATATGGCATGTTTGAAAATACTGAATTAATAATTTATTAAGACATTTATTAAATATTTATTAGAATTTTGAGATAATTAATCACTAAATTGGTATATAAATATGTTTTAATAAAAATGGAAGTAATTATATACGTAATGACCGATATCAATAATACATAATTAATCGCATATATAGAATGTATGATATAATTCTAATAATAACTAACATATATATTAATTTTTCCAGGTACAGCTGAAGGCGTATTTAGTTAGGGTACAACGACCGGTGAGTGATTTTATTCATTATACTTGCGCAATTATGCCAACCCAATCAGCAGACAATATTTTTAAATTTATTTTTAATATTTATTGTTTAATTGTACATTGTAAATTTGTGAAGAACATTTTTAAAAACATTTTAAAAACATTAAAATCAAGAATTAAACCTTTTTTTATTTATTTAAAAAATGTTTATTTTAATATTTTCTCTAAATTGCTATTTTAAACGAATATTTTATGTAAAAGAAATAATTAATAAACATTAAATAAATATTAAAATAGCAACTTAGAGAAAATATTAAAATAAACATTTTTTCAATAAATAAAAGAGGATTTAATTAATGATTGTAATATTTTTAAAATGTGTTTAAGAATAATTTTCAAAAATTCTTTAAAACATTTTTAAAAACATTCTCTGCCGGCTGGGAAGCATTAATACCGTTCACTATCTTATTTGTCAATATTTGTTATGCAACTATTAAAAATCGCATCTTGACAATTACATTCTTGTTTACAGTTTGTATTTTTATAATTAAATAATAGAATTAAAAAATACTTTTTCTTTATTTTAACAAAAATTTATTTTTGCACAAGTCATATATGTATATAGTTCATTATTTTTAAAATATTTTGGAAGTATAAATTATATAAACATATATATAAGAACATTTTATGTTAACATAAAATATAAATAATTTAATAATTAAAATTTTGAAGTTATAAATTCTGAAAATATGATGTTTAGTATAAAATAATTTTAATATAATTTACTTTTATTAAAATTAATTTTATTAAAAAAGATTAACGTTTAATGTTTTTATCATTGTACGATTTGGGATGCGCAATTTATTGATGCAACAAATCATAATTATGGATATAATTTTATAGAGTAAATAATATAATTTATTTGTTTTTATGACGCTCATTTTATCAAATAATTTTCTTCTTTTGTCGGACTTTCCTTTGACGTTATAAAATTTGAAAACTTTTTAAATATCATATTTTGCGACAAAATATAGTCTACATAGTTTCTCAAAAAGTATGGGCATATTTATAATATCTTTTCTGCTTCAATTTTGTTTTTTAACGATTGCAATGACTTAAATAATCTCTAGCAATCACTTAATTGTAATATTTTTAAATCAACTTATGGCAAAATTTAAATTATCATGATATACATAATCATGATAATACATACATACGTACACAATTATTATATACATAGTTATGCAATGTGATAAAAATCTGAACTTTAAAATAGAAAAATTATTAATTAAATTTTATATTTAAATAGAATTTACATTTGATAAAAAGAGAATTAAATATGATATCTCATTAAAGGCACAGTTTTAGAATGATAATTGCCATAGTAAAATTTCTATCAAAGAGCAAATTTAATTGTTAATTAGAGCAAGTCAGATTAAAAAGACATCAAAGCGTACATCCGCGTCGAAATCACGAAATTCATTTTTGTTTCAATCGCAATACTTTATCACTTATTACTAATGAAGTAATCCTAAGCCGCTAGAAGTAATGCATATCATATAATGAAAAATTGCAACACTCTTTTTTTCCCGCTGTGGAAGTTACGTAATTAAGCGTCCCCGCCGTTGCCTTATCCAATTTATCGATCCGTTGATGCGGTAAAGCCCGATGTCTACGTTAATTGCAGCAGAACAAGCTAC